TAATCCAGTTCATAATTAAGTTAATTCAGTGCACAATTAAGTTAAACGTTTTTAAACACAAACTCAATATAATCAAAACACTATCTGATCACCATATGTATTGTAATATATGTATACATGTATGTATTGTAAAATGTATTTTGTGTGTAGAAACCACTACAAAGTCCTACAAATCGTACCCCTGATAATGAGGATCAAATTCTACAAATTCGCTTTAAATGGATTAATTTTATCATTTAGGAATTAAGACACATCGCCAAAGAAAAGACTACGAAAACAAACATTAGATTACAATTGAAATGATATGATATATTTGAATTAAGTAATGTAATGAATGAACTAATATTAACTCACCAATTGCCGACAATTAAAGCCATATTTAATTGGTTTATTAATACAAATTTCTCAACTGTCTCATTTGACAAATGTAGTTATAATCACTTTACAAAAATTGCTAATCAAATGGGGTTTAAATATAGAGATACCAAACAAGTTATACGTGAAGAAAAAATCAAATCAAATGATTTAATAATTAAACGTAAAAAATATTTGATTAAAAAATATTTATTAGAATGTTATTTCCCAATTGCTTTCTTGGACGAGACCTGGTTCCATCGCAATATCACTAATAAAAAGATTTTAGTATCGCCTAATCAAGATGATTCACTAAATTACAATATTCCAATTGGTAAGAATATTTTATATTATTTATATTATTATGAGTATTACAGTATAAGCATTTAAAAAATCATATAACTTTCATATTAGGTGATGGTGAGAGGTATAGTGTAATTCATTGTGGTTCTAAACATGGATTTATCCCGGATGCACTGTATTTGTCTGAAAAACCAATTCAAATAACTGGTGCTATTTTTGAAAATTGGTTAAAAGATAATTTGATTCCAAATCTGCGGGAAAAGCCAACAGTCATTATATTAGATAACGGTAAATACATTAATGCCATCCAATAGCATGCCTTAGAATATAATAATGTAATAGTTTATAGCTTTAATTTAATAAATTTAATTTATATTTACAGCCAGTACTCATACTACATATAATGGCAAACCATTCAGTAAATGGACTGTCAAAGAAATAAGAAGTTATATCTTAGATAATAATATTAATATTAATTGTGATATAAATTCGCCGAAAAGTCTTATATGCAATATTAAAAGAAAAATTTGTTGGTGATAGATATGGAGTTGATATTATTAAAGACTGGTCATATAGCCCTAAGATTTCCACCATATCATTGCGAGGTATGAATATTTAATATTATTTATATTATTAGTATTACAGTATAATTAAAACTAAATTTATTTTTTAAATTTAGCTAAATGCCATTGAGATTGTTTGGGCTGAGGCTAAGCGAAGAGTTATAACTAATAATTTAGGCTTAAGTAAGACCGAATACATGGATTTAATTAAAACTACATTTAATAAGATTGATGACATTTATTGGAAAAAATGTGAACATTTGTTTAAAATTGAACACAAGTTTATGAACGCAGATAACATTTTTAATACTGCAAAGCAATATAAAGAATTATTAATTAATAGTGATTATAATGATAAAAATGTAATTTTGGAAAAAATTAATGAAATTAATAATTTGTAATCTATTTATAATATACTATAAGTTTAATTTCAACATTAAATAATAAAAACTTTATTAATCAAAACAAGATTTATATATATATATATATTTGAGCACAATATTTATGTCAATACCTATTGGGAAGACCTGTGAGACAAGGTGTACAGCTACTTTGTTTATTATTTTAAACGATTATTAACTATATTAATTTATTCAATAATTTTGTGCAAAAATGTCTTCATATGAAGAGTTTTTAAACGTATTTCTATCGCACAGTATGTCAATCAGCCAAAAAAGCCGACAGATATACTTTAATGATTTTAATGAATGGTATAAATAATTAAATTGAAATATTGTTTCATTATTGGAGGGGTAGGGGTGGGGGGTCGGTGGTAACAAAGCGTATGTACGCTTGAGGGGAGGGGTCTTGATATGCGTACGATGTGCGACTAGGGGGGAGGGGGGTCAATTTTTGGCCTAATTTCTGCGTACGTACTTTATGAATGACGCCTAACTTATTTTTATATCAGATAAATGAGTGGAAAGTATTAGAAATGATTGAAAAGACAACTTGTATTACCGTAAAAGGTCGCCCCGGGAATTGAACCCGGGTCTCATTTTATTTTTGTTATTTTGTTATCTANATCAGGGGTACGATTTGTAGGACTTTGTAGTGGTTTCTACACACAAAATACATTTTACAATACATACATGTATACATATATTACAATACATATGGTGATCAGATAGTGTTTTGATTATATTGAGTTTGTGTTTAAAAACGTTTAACTTAATTGTGCACTGAATTAACTTAATTATGAACTGGATTAATTTAATTCTGCATTAAATTAACTTAGTTATTCCCTAAATTAACTTAATTTTTAATTTATTTATAGAATTAAGTTAATCCAGTGCATAATTAAGTTAATTTAGGGAACAATTAAGTTAAACGTTTTTAAACACAAACTCAATATAATCAAAACACTATCTGATCACCATATGTATTGTAATATATGTATACATGTATGTATTGTAAAATGTATTTTGTGTGTAGAAACCACTACAAAGTCCTACAAATCGTACCCCTGCTCATTATTCTTCCGAAGACAACATTACCTGATGATATTGTAAATTGTATTGTAACTTGGTTTAGTTTTGGTTATAACAATTATTTCTTGGATTGCTTTCGTTTCATTGAATTGTCTTTCATTGACTAAAGTGTGATACAATCCTAATATCATTTCCTTAGTTTCAGATCTCATGTATTTACCAGAACCCTGATTATCACTCATATTAAATGTATTAAATTATAAATAACAAATAAAAAACCAACTAAATTAATAAATCACAAAATCAAAATCACTTTAAATGTGAAAACATATGTGTAAGCCTAAAACAAATTAAAGCTTTTTGCCATGTAGCGTTTACTGTATATGAAATATTTATTAAACTTCTATCATACTTTTATAATGAATAAGTTTAATAAATATTTCATATACAGTAAACGCTACATGGCAAAAAGCTTTAATTTGTTTTAGGCTTACACATATGTATAAAACTAATATATTTGAGCACAATATTTATGGCAATCCTATTGGCCAGACCTGTGAGACAAGGTGTACAGCTACTTTGTTTATTATTTTAAACGATTATTAACTGTACTTGTTAGATTATTATCCTGGCAAATTCTAGTAAATACTTAAAAACATTATCTCACTTCAATTGTTTGTAAATGCATTAGGTTAAGCTATTACTTAGAAGGAATTTCTCGATACGGAAAGTTGGCCATGCCAGTTTAATTTGTATGAACATAAACTTAAGAATGTCATTAATAAATATGCATGGTCAAAAAGTGCGAATCCGGCCGATAAGTTGGTCATATTAAGGTCAGTAAGTTGGCTGACATGGTCATTTTTG